ATATATATATATATAATACTCTCTTCTCTCTCTCTCTCTCTCTCTCTCTCTCTCTCTCTGTAACTAAAATGTTTTTATGTATCATGTTATGGAACTGTAGATATTCGCAAAATAAAACTATTAATCCACTCGGAACAATTCAATATCGAGTTTTGATAAAAAGTTAGCATTCTATTTTTTAAATTTAAATTTAATATCTCTAGACTAATAAATTTTAATCTAAATTAAAATCTGTCAATTTCAGAGGAACTTTTTTATAAACTATAGAGGAATTTTTAATCTCTTCAAAACGAGAAGCGAATATACAAAATTATGGAATTTAAATATTAAAATGCTAACTTCAAATACCACAGATTCAAACTTCGTATGTACTCTTTAAACAATGGTTCGACATATCTCATCATAAAATGAGCACAACGGCGACCTTCGCAAAACAAAAGCTGTTAAGCCGCTTAAAAACTCGATATCAAATTCCGATTAAAAAAAATTAGCGTCCTATCTTTTAAATTTAAATTTAAGATCTTATATTATTAGATTAACAAATCTTAATCAACCTTAATCAGCCTTTCTTATAAACTATAAAGAGACTTTCAGTCTCCTCAAAACAAAACGGCTATTCAGAATTACAGAAAATTTAAATGTCGGGACGCCAACTTCAAACCCACAGATTCGAACTCCGCGTGTACTCTTCAAACGACGGTCAACGACGGTTCGACGGATCTCTCATCGTGAAACGAGCACGACACGGCGGCCTTCGTTAAACGGATGGCCAGAGGATGGCGATTCGTAATTTTAGAAATGATAGCGAGAGAGCCGCCGCGGCGCGTCTTCGCCGCCGCGCGCGAGAAGAGCGAAGGACGCGCCGCGCGCGGCTTCTCTTCTCCTTCCTGCGTCCTTTGTGCTTTCTGGGAAACGCGCAGCGCGTATAGATTACGTCCCCGACTGGCGATTGGCGGCGCGATAAAGCCGCGCGAGGTTGTCGCTACGTGAGCTGCGATTCGAGGTGCTCGTTAATATCGTCGTCATAGTTAGAGAGACCCGCTCGGGCTCGTAAAGTCCGTCTCTCTTCATCCTCCGTCTCTCTCTCTCTCTCTCGCTCGGTGAAATCGCGTTTGAGTGACCGCGAATCGTTTTTTTTTATCGTCTCGCCGCCGTCGCCGCAAACGGAAAACGATGTTTTTAATCCGAATGCGAATTAAAAACATATTGCGCAACGCGCTCTAACGCGCGCGCACGTGCGTCGCCGCGCGGAGTTTGCAAATTGTTGCCGTAGGAGCGAAACGACACAGGAAAAGACACGTGGAAAAATCTTGGCGAATTAAAATGGCGAGAAGCGCGAAATTGTTAATTTAACACTTTAACGATATACGCGGAATGATTAGTTCGAACGATCTATCTGACTGGCGCGATGTTGATACGTTATCGGCTATTGGATCATGGATATTTTTATCGAGCCATCTTGGTGAGATTAACTCTGGCTGATATCGGCTTGGAAAGTCGAAGAATAACGCGACACCGTTCCTATGTTAGTAGCAGTTTCTTTAACCCGCGAACAAGAATCGCGCCGCAGAAAATCTTGAACTTCGCGTGAATCGACTAGTTTTCTATTTGCAGAAACTAGAGCTAGCTAAGGGCAGCGAGAAAGAAGAATAAATTTTTGCAAATTCTTTCTGTTCCTTGAACTCTCGCGGTACAAGTGTAGCCTCGGTATGAGATCAGTTTCGTCATTCTTTACGACATTCCTTATAAAGGTAGAACATCTTTGAGGAGGTGCTCTTCGGATGTGTTCCTTTTCAAGTCAACACACACACATTTCCACCTTTGCGTTGCAGCTGGTGACTCTGGACGGATTGCACAGCGGAGTGCCGACCAGGACGACGCCGACGCTGACGCCGACCACCCTCCGCAGCATCGAGCAGACGTTCCTGGAGCTGACGAGCGAGTCGGCGTCGCACAGTCGCGAGGCCGGCTTCGTACCACCGTTGGTCGAACCATCGCAGCCGACCCCGGCACAGACGCAAAACACAACGGCGGTGCATCTCCCGGCGCCGACGACCATCCTCATCGAGAGCCAGCAGCAAACGCAATCGCAACAGCAGCAGCAGCCGGTTAGACGCAATATGGGCGGCAGGCGGCCCACCAGAACGATCGGGATGACCCCCGAGGAGGAGCAGAGGCGACAGATCCGGCGCGAGAGGAACAAGATGGCAGCGGCGAGATGCCGCAAGCGAAGGATGGATCATACCAATGCCCTACTCGAAGTGAGTGATATGAAGAATACGGATCATCATTTGAAAATTCATAATCTCAAACCGCACTTCTGTTTGCAAATGAAACTAAGCTAGTTTTACTTATTAAATCTTATTATTAAGTCGTCACTCTCAGACAGAAGTGTAGCTCGAGATTGTGGATCTTCAAGTTTCAAAAACTTTAGGAATCACATATCATCGGAAGAAGATAAAGAAATATTGTTATATGTGATACGTCGTATATATTTTATAGGAAACTGAGGGCTTGGAACAGAAGAAACAGAACTTGCAGGAGGAGATTGAGCAGCTGAAGCAGGCCAAAGATGAACTGGAATTTATTTTGGACTCCCACAGAGCGGTCTGTCGTCGTTCGCTACGTCCCTCGTCCCCGCTGGATGTGAAACCCGTGATAAAGACCGATATTGCAGTCGAGGATCACTTCGCTACTGAATCTATGAAAAACGAGCCAACGATAATCGCGGCAACGAGACCGAACAGACCTAATTCATTGCCGGTCGGATTGGATAACAATAACAGACTGAATTCCCTGTCGATGTTTGTGGAACCAAAGGAGAGGCCGGATACGCTTGCTTTCAAGACGGTGGAGACGCCATCCTTCATGAAGCCGTCGATGGACGTAGCCGGTATGCCAATTACTACCCCGACCAGCGGCATACCGTTCAACTTTGAGTCCTTAATGGAAGGCGGTACCGGTCTTACGCCGGTCTCGACGCCTCTGATACCGTCGTGCTCGACGCAACAGAGGAGCAATCTGTCCGCTGTGGATCTCAGCTCCCCGGATGCGAATCCCCCGAAGCTCGTGAGCTTGTGACGCCACGACGACATTATGGAGCACGGGTCCAACGAGGAGGATGATCCCGAATGAGAGAACGGGAGTACCATGACGCGAAGGATTTCTACAAATGGAGAGCAGAAGTATTATGCGCGTGCTCTTTACAACGAAATTTTTGATCGCTCTTAAAAGCTCTTTCACGCGATTTTGCTTGTTAGAAAGCGCGGTTTTTTGAATGCATTTTATTGTGAAAATTTTGTCGATGCTCGTTACATTGAAGTTTGTAAACAACCTGATGAATTTGTTTTTAAAATTGTTCTTGAAAAAAAGAAGAAAATAAAAAAAATTGTAATTAATATCGATTATAACGCTAATGCGTAGAAAAGATCTATTGTATTTAGATTTTAATGGTCTGCGAATTCGTATTTGATAATTTCAGTATTTTGCTATTTTTAGACAAGGATGATAGATGAGAGTCCTATCAATCTAAAATTTTAAATTGTATAACTTTGTATCGGTATAAAATAGTCATCTTGTTACAAAAATAAATCGTAAGAGAAAGAGAGTTGAAGATGTTTGAACAGATATTTGAATATATTTGAAGAGAAAAAGCGCCAGCTGTTTGCGTTCTAAAAGAAATTATCGCAGATATGAGCAATAATGTCTGCACACAAGTGATATAAATATATTTAACATTTAAAATAATGAATTAGAAATAATGAACGTAAGATATGTCATTTTGTAAGCGATTCAATGAGACAAATGGAATTTTATACTGTAATTCTATATTGAGAAAATGAAAATTTAGAATGTAAGGCAAAACAAATTTAGCTCAAACTTTTAAGTACAAGAAGCCTTAAAAATGCTCTTTGAATTGCGCTTAACCATCAGTCAACAACACTTCGCATAATTCAAAGGTATATTTAATATTGCAGAACGGATAAATTTACACGAATGCGAGAATCCCTAAATTTTTTCCAACGTTTTTTCCCCGATAATAAAAAAATCTCGCTTTCGTATTTATCCGCATTGACATCAATTTTTATACGCAACTGTCGTTTTTCCAGTCTCATACGACATAACATTTAATCCATCCATATAATATATACATATATTTTACGACGTATGACATTTTTGCATGATCTTAAGCAATATTAATATATTTATGCGCGACTGCTAGTTATGATGCATGGAAGCTATAACGATATAACTATATTTTAATTGCCTGCTAGCGACTTTTCTGCTCTGGCTGATTACCAAGAGCTTTCCGTGTCATATTTAGTGGTCGCTATCGAGAATTGTATATGGAGATTTGTAACGCACCAATGATAATGTTGCAATATATTTTGATTAGATTGAGTCAATAAAACGAAGTGAAATTGTATTTTCGGTAATATTATCACTTTATTCATTGTTTATATTATTTTAGAATCCTTTGGATTTTTTAATAGCTTCCTCCTCGTCGGTTGGACTCATTAATTGATAATGACTAAATTCCATTGAGAATGTTGCATTGCCAGATGAGATAATTCTCAATGTTGTTGAGTATCCCATTAATTCTGATAATGGCGCAAGAACTCTAATCACCTGTGAAATAAAATGCGAATCTTTAGTCGTATATATAATTCATCAAATAATAAAGTTACAATTACAAATAAGAAACTTTTACCTTATTATTGCCACGTATATCAATTTGTTGTATTGTCGTTCGTCTACGAGTAAGATCAGCATTGATACGTGAGGAATACTCTTCCGATGTAATGATTTCCAATTGCATTATGGGTTCTAGTAACAAACTATTTCCATTTTGGAGTAACTGCGCACACGTAAAACGTACATCATATAAACATTTTTACTAAAAATTGAATATCTTAACATTTTGTCCGTTTAAACAGACAAAAGTAATCTTTGTTTTTATTATAATGAATTCGTTTTTATTATAATTTATTCCTCTATATATATTTTATATAATATGTGAAAAATTTTGTGAAAAATTTTCATATATATTAAACATAACGCAATTTATCGGATAATTCTAAACATAAGATATCATATGATAAAATATAACAAAATGGTAACATAATAATTAATAGTTGATATGTCAGGTAATATTTAATTAATAAGATGTTGAAAATTTAAGGTATATATATATATATATATACTGACCTTTTGAATGCATTGTAAGACAGCGGCGGATATAATAGTATCCGAGGTATGACGTGTTACTTCCAGCCAATGCAGCTTGACGCCAACATTAATCACCGGACAACTTAATTTCACACCATGTAACAATGCAGCATTTACGCCGTTTTTAATCGCACTCATTACTCGCGGATGAATGCTATCAATATTCGAAGCGTTTTCTGGAGACCTGTCCAGAAGCAGTTTCTCTTTTCCCTCATAGTTCGGAATTAAAGACATAGTGATAGTAACTTTGTGCATCGTCTGATTCATTTTGTGCTCCATGGACAGTGTATCTCTAACGGCATCCTGAATCGTTTCCTTATAAGCAATCTGTAAGGGACCGAGATCTACATCGATTTTGTACTCCGTCCTGATTCTTTGCTTGATGATATCTATGTGCAGTTCTCCCATCCCCCCGAGAACAGTCTGTTCTGTCTCCGGATCGTTTTCACATGCAAGCTAGGATCTTCTCTCTGCAGTTCCTGAAGAGCGGTTTCTAAGGCAGACTGCGCCGAAAGGGAGGGCGGTTCTATAGAACAGAAAACGGGATCGAGCAAACTCATTCTGGACGTAAAGAAAT